GTGCAAGTTGTCCCCAACAAAGGAGGAATCACGGTGATAGAAAATGAGAAAAATGAGTTGATTTCTACACGGACAGTGACTGGATGGAGAGTTTGCATTGACTACCGTAAACTTAACATAGCTACTCGAAAGGATCACTTTCCATTACCGTTCAGTGATCAGATGTTGGAGAGATTAGCGGGACATTCACATTACTGTTTCCTAGATGGGTACTCCGGATATAATCAGATTCCAGTGGCACCAGACGATCAGGAGAAGACCACTTTCACTTGCCCCTATGGCACCTTTGCATACAGAATGATGCCATTTGGATTATGCAACGCTCCTGCTACCTTTCAGCGCTGCATGATGGCTATTTTCTCAGACATGATTGAGAAATTCATCCAGGTATTCATGGATGACTTCTCTGTGTTTGGATCTTCATTTGATGAGTGCTTGGAGCATCTAAGTCTTGTGCTACAACGGTGTACGGAGACCAACTTGGTGTTGAATTGGGAGAAATGTCACTTTATGGTACAAGAAGGCATCGTACTAGGGCATCGAATCTCGGCGAAGGGCATTGAAGTGGATAGAGCAAAGATTCAAGTAATCGAGAAACTACCACCACCTACATCAGTAAAAGGTGTTCGTAGTTTTCTTGGTCATGCAGGGTTCTATAGAAGATTCATCAAGGATTTCTCAAAAATTACCAAACCTCTGTGCTGTTTATTGATGAAGGAATCCACATTTGAATTTACTGATGAGTGTCTGCAGGCCTTTAACACTTTCAAAGAGAAGTTGACTTCAGCATCTATAATTATCACACCGAATTGGAATCTACCATTTGAATTAATGTGTGACGCCCGTGACTATGCTGTGGGAGCCATGTTGGGTCAACGAAGGAATAAGGTATTTCACGTGATCTACTATGCAAGTAAGACTTTGAACGATGCTCAGTTAAATTATGCCACTATGGAGAAAGAGCTTCTTGCTATAGTCTATGCATTTGACAAATTTCGATCATACCTTGTGGGGTCGAAGGTCATAGTCTACACAGATCATGCCGCTATTAGGTACTTAATGGAAAAGAAGGATGCTAAGCCACGTCTCATTCGTTGGATATTACTACTTCAAGAGTTTGACTTGGAAATTTAGGGTAAGAAAGGCAGTGAAAACGTGGTGGCGAACCACCTATCTTGGCTTGAGGACACAGAATGGACAGAGACAGTGGAAATAAACGAAATCTTCCCAGACGAACAGAGTTTTGGTGTGATGGAAACACCCTGGTATGCAGAAATAGTTAACTATTTAGCCATGTCTATCATACCACCAGATTATTCAAGTCACCAGAAGAAGAAATTCTTCGCTGAATTGAAGTATTATTTTTGGGAAGATCCCATTCTCTACAGGCGGGGCGCTGATCAAATTGTTCGTCGCTGTGTACCAGAGGAATAGGTGCCTTTGATATTAGAAAATTATCACTCATCTATATATGCAGGGCATTTTGGTGCTTCGAAAACAGCTGCGAAGATTCTTCAATCAGGTTTTTACTGGCCTACACTCTTTAAAGATGCTTTTGAATTTGTGAAAAGGTGTGACCGATGTCAGCGCACGGGTAACATATCTAGAAGAAATGAGATGCCTTTGAATAGTATCTTAGAGGTGGAATTATTCTACATCTGGGGGATCGACTTCATGGGACCATTTTCACCATCTTTTTCAAATCAATACATATTAGTGGCTGTGGATTATGTATCGAAGTGGGTCGAAGCTATTGCACTACCTACTAATGATGGGAAAGTGGTGATTGAGTTTTTAAAGAAGAACATTTTTACCCGGTTTGGAACACCAGGAGCCATAATCAGTGACGGGGGCACACATTTCTGCAATCGTCAGTTCGAGCAGTTGTTAGTGAAATATGGCGTTAAGCACCGTATAGCCACCGCATACCATCCCCAAACCAGCGGACAGGTCGAAGTATCCAATAGGCAATTGAAGCGAATACTCGAAGTCACAGTCAACTCATCACGAAAGGATTGGTCAAAGAAACTGGATGATGCTTTGTGAGCCTACAGGACTGCATTCAAGACCCCTATAGGAATGTCACAATATCGACTGGTTTTTGGGAAAGCATGTCACCTACCTCTTGAGATCGAACATCATGCCTACTGGGCAATGAAGAAGTTGAACTTGGATTTGAAGGCTGCGGGTGAAAAAGGGCTGTTACAACTGAATGAACTGGATGAGCTCAGAATGGAAGCCTACGAGAACTCAAAGATCTACAAAGAGCACACCAAGGAATGGCATGACATGCATATCCAGAGGCGTGACTTTAAGGTGGGGCAAAAGGTGCTACTCTACAACTCCAGGCTTAAACTGTTTCCAGGAAAATTGAGATTGAGATGGTCTGGTCCATATACCATTACACAAGTGTTTCCACATGGAGCGGTTGAGATCACTCACGACAGCAAGGGAACATTCAAAGTTAATGGACAGCGTTTGAAGTACTATTGGGGCGGTGATTTCTCAGAGGACAAGTCTACCGTCCATCTTGGATCGCCAGAATAACGCAATACGGTAAAGTTGAGCTATCGACTATAACCTAGCGTTGAGTGGGAGGCAACCCACTGTATCCTTAAATTTATTTTATTGCATTGCATTAGTTTAGGAATTTGTTTGAGTTTAGTTTGTTTTGTAGGTCATCGATCATATTTTGCATGATAGCCTAGGCACCACAAGTTTAATGTTGCATGAAAGGGTGCTAAATGAAGTGTTTGGGTGTTCGAGTGTGTGTCACACATTCCGATGTGTGAAGATATTCGTTTTGGTTAAGCTTTCAGAATGCGGGACAACACTTATGAAAAATCGGTTTTGGTGCCAAGTTTTCGATAAGCATATTCCTCTTTTCAAGTTAAAATTTTCAAAATTTTTTTTTGGAATATAGGCGAGGCGAGTCAAAATTTTTAAGTGAAAAATCGATCTCGGGGTAGTTTAAATTTTCAGTCATGGATTGATTTAAAAAAAAGAGAGAAAAAGAAAAAATAATAATAATAATAAGACACCCGGTTTGGTCTATGCGGTCGCATAGACCGCATCCGAAAGCAAACCAGGGAAATTGTTTGCACTATGCGACCCCATAGTGCAACACTATGCGGTCGCGTAGTGTAGAACCCGTGACCACACAATTAAACCCCAAATTTCCCCCCCTCTCACTCACACTCGAGACCACTCACCCACTTCACCTATTCACTTGCACACACTTCACACTTGCACACTACTCACTTCACCCTCACACTTCATACTTGCACACACTCATCACACAAGTGCTTGGATATTCATCTTTAGTGAAACAAATCAAGATTCCAACTTGTCAAGCCAAGGTACGAGTTCTAATCCCAATTTATTTCGAGCTTCATTTTCACATTTTGTTTCAATGTGTGGAATTAGTTAGAATGTGTAATGATTTATTGGTATGGTGTTGTGAATTGGGAAAATTTCATGGTAGGGTTGTTTAAGAAATAGGAAGAAACTAACATTGCACACCACATGTTCGACGAAATGCCACATTGACGCATGTTTTGAATTCTTGGATTTTTCACTTATGCAATAGTTTACATTGTTATTGTGTAGCGTTTTTGCCGAACAATCATGTGATATTTCATTTGAAAACCACTGGCCTAACATTTGAATTCACAAAGGCACTTCATGGCTAACCTTATTCACTCACGTCACTACCTTCGTCCCTATGTTTTCTTATGCAAACGACCTCCGATTAAGGTAAAATTTGGATATATGCTAGATGTCATTGAGTACTTTCACATGTCCAAAACTTGCCCGGGAAAATTTCGATATTTCT